AACAAATTTTAGTTTTTTAATTGTATCTTGTGGGAAAAGTGCACTTCTTTGTTAATTTTGGGGCGCTGAATCCAAAAATGACAATGAAATAAAAAAATTAGTTGCGGTTTAGAAAAAAAAATTAGTTTTAAGGATATATTAAAAAAAGTAACAAGATTCATATACTTATAAGAATCACTATATGCGCTGTCTTTTTGCTGTTCTTTTATGGATCGTTTCTGGAGCATCTCTACCAAGAGTCCAACAGTAGTCTGCAAGCATGGAAGGATTCCACTTTCCCTGGTACCTTTTTTCCATTGTTGAAATATCCTGATGAAAACGTTCGCCGTGCTCATCACTTACGGCTCCGCAATTGTCAGGAAAAAAGTCCAGGTGTGAGTGTAGGAAATGTATCTTAAGAGACATATTACAGCCCATCTTTTGATACGATGACAGCATATTTTTGACAAGGGTTTTATAGTTTTCAGCTTTTCTATTTCCCAAGAAATTAGTGACCACCAGACGGAAATCATTCCAAGCAGTTTTTTTAATACCTGTTAAAGTGTTTTCAAACTGTGTATCTTTCAAAATATTTCGAATTTGTGGCCCAACAAAAATACCTTCTTTAACCTTTGCCTCACTTAGTCTTGCAAATTTCTGACGCAGGTATTGAAAAGCTGACCCATCTCTATCCAGTGCCTTGACAAAGTTTTTCATTAGGCCCAACTTGATATGCAGTGGTGGTAATAAATTTTTTTTCGAATCTACTAATGACATATGCTGTACATTTTTTTGACCTAGCTCTAGGAATTGACAAACAGGCCAGTTTTGTCTGGTGTAATGAAGTGCCTTTGCCCGACTGTCCCATTCACACAGAAAACAGCAAAACTTTGTGTAGCCTAGCTGCAGCCCAAGTAAATAGGTACTTCATATTGTCATATGATTCTTTCATGTGAACTGCATACCCTACAGGAAGAGATGGTAAAATATTTCCAATATGCAATAACACTGCCTTAAACTCAATGTTGAACTGTTTATAAACAATCTCCATTCTTCTGGGTTATAGTTTATATTTAAAGCCGCCAGTAAGCCGTAACTGTGAGGCACAGGTCTCATCGCAGATGGTATGTCTGGGTAGTTAATAACCGATTTTTTTTTCTTGGACATACCTGTGGCTTGTCTCTGAGACGCAAAAGTCACATCACCACACACGTAACAAAACTGATCTGGATTGTTTACACTCTTTCGAGACATCTTGCATGAACGCTGTCAGTCAACTGAGGAAAAAATGGCTAATATAAAACAATATAATGTACACGTATGTATAACGTAACACAATTATGCCGATTACATCATCTTTCCTTGCCGAATATAAAACTGTAGCACGTGCATTCTTGTGAATTACAGTATATTAACACTGTCACAGCAGGAACACATATAATTACCGTATCTCTAAAACTTGAACTAATATTGAAAAAATAAGTTTCATTCCGGTTTTAGAACGTTAAAAATAGTAATATTTTGTTGATTTTATTTAGGATATTTTTGGGCTGTTGATCAGTGTAATAGAAGCTTCTAGAAGGACCAACAGATCCTTACACAGTATACTGCAGTAAACACCCATAAAAAGTACTTAAGGAATTCTTGACCTAGAAGACAAATCTAGAGGCTAAACCCAAAATATGGGCCTCTCTCTAGGTTCTTTTCTGGGCAAGTAACAATTTTCTTATTAATGACAAATAAAAATTCCTCGTAAGCTTGCAACGTAAACTAGTAAAAAACAATGATTGTTTTAGTAGATTTTCGTCTAGATTTCGACACTGACACGAGTTCTCGCAGTGACTGAATCTCTAAATGTACTAAGTGACAAATAAATCCGAACACCCGGTTTAAATGGTTTTATTTTAATAAAAGTTGGTGAATGTATCTATCTTACTGTAAATAAGAAGTGAAAAAATTTTCAGCCTCATCAGTTGGACATTCCGGTTTTTATACTGCTTTTTTTTAATTCACTAACGCTATAAGAATGAATATTTCAGCCGCAGTAAAGAATCAACGTTGGCGGATTTTGGTTCTTGACATCCTTTACGATAGGTTACGATGCCTAGAGTACGGAGACCTGTACGATTTCGTCAACTTAGTGAGTTTGATAGAGGCCGTATAGTGGGACTTCGGGAAGCTGGACTTTCTTTTCGGGTAATTGCAGTTAGAGTGCAAAGAAGTGTAGACACTGTGGTTAGGTGTTATCAGGCATGGCTTCGAGAAGGCCGTACGCAAAGAGCAAGGGGCACTGGACACCGCCGTAGAACAACAGACCGTGAAGATCGCCGCCTAAGATTATTGGCCTTAAGGTACCGTTTCTCCACTACCAGGTCCATTGCAAATGAATGGTTTGCAGAACACGGAAGACCTATTGACATGCGAAGTGTTTACCGACGAATGAGAAGTTTTGGCTTGTTTTCATACCGGCCACACTGGATCCTCCCTTTAACTCGAGAACACCGACGTAATCGCCTTGAGTGGTGCAGACAACGGTCACTCTGGGATCAGGAATGGAACAGTATTGTCTTTAGTGACGAGTCTCGATTTTGTTTAGGCATGCACGATGGTCGTGCCAGGGTTAGAAGGCGACATGGTGAAAGGAGGAATCCACAGTTTTTTGTTGAAAGACATGTTCATCACACTGTTAGAATTATGGTTTGGGGTGCTATAGCTTATGGTTCCAGATCACCTTTAATCTTCATCAGAGGTAACATGAACGCGCAACGTTAAATCCACGAAGTTCTAGAACCCCATCTTTTACCCTATCTTGACACCCTGGCAGATCCAACTTTCCAACAAGATAATGCCCGACCACATGTTGCAAGAGTCACAATAGACTTCTTTCAACATAATGATGTCACATTGTTACCATGGCCACCAAGATCTCCCGACTTATCACCAATTGAGCACGTGTGGGATATGATGGGTAGGAGATTGCTCAATTTGCAACGTCCTCCTCAGACTCTAGAAGCACTTCGAGAGGAGTTGGTGGTTGCCTGGAATGAGATACCACAGGAGGACATTGACCACCTGATCAGAAGCATGCCTAGGCGCGTTGGAGAATGCGTAGCACATCAGGGTGCATCCACACATTATTAAAGGTCAATGGGCTTTAAAGCAGTGCAATCATTTTTAAATTTTTATCATTTACTTATTATGCTTCATTAAGTACAAAATTTTATTAAAATAAAACCATTTAAACTGGATGTTCGGATTTATATGTCACTTAGTATACTTTGTACTGTCTTATTTCAATGATGTATCAGCTTTCAAATGATGCCTGATGAACCAACAGACATCTCAGATACAAAAAATATTTGCAACATGTAATCAAAGACACAGTACAACGATAGCCTGGCGCTCATAGATTTAATAATAATCTAGAGTCATTGACTTTGGTTATACAGTCAAAATACTCATATCGCTGATAGCAATGGAAATTTTCACAACAGCAGTTAGTAACTAGTAAGTAACAATATTAATATCATTAGTAAACATAGATAAGCTTGTGGGTTCTATGTATTACACTTGTTTATAAAAACATCGTGATTAATAGCATCAATATCCTCCTAAATATAGATATTTAAGGATTTTCTAAGATTTTGCATTCCACTTGCAACCACGAGCGACAAAAAATTGTGTGTGTATTAGGTTGATGGTACATGAAAAGAGGTCGTTGGTACGTAAGAGGAACAGTGTCGGAGCCGGGACCGATCCCTGGGGAACACCCGCGTTGACGTTCGAGGCAGTCCAGAAGCTTGCGATATATGCACCTCTCCATCACCGTAACTATAACAGAATGCAGAGCTATAGTCCTGCAGTTGTGGGTCGATCTTAGATCATTTTTTTGGGATGGGTCGGATAATAGCAAATTTCCAGTTTTCTGGCAAGGTGTCGGATTCATAAGATATCTGGAAGAGACGCGAAAGTGATAAAAAGCGAGTGATAAAAAAATAAAAATGAATAAGAATGAATTATATTAACACATACGAAATACAGGGTGCACATCGAAAACGAAACAGGCATTTACTGGCAGCGCAGTCTTTATTTGAAAAACGCTCAGCCCCGTCGATTTTGCTTTCGGGAGGGACACAAGTTTGGCAAAAAATCACGTTAGCACGTGCAGCCCCCTAAGCGGGGGTGACACCAGATCCAAAATCTTAAATGAAAAGGGGGGTCGAGTGATACATTATTTTAAAGGTTTTTCAATTCCCTTTATAATGATATAAAATTAATGTACTTCAGTTCAGTCGTTTTGGAGATTTATTGATTTGAAGCTTAAATAAAACTAATACATCATCATTAGTGGAGATCAATACATTTGGCAGCAAAGTAATTTAAAAATGAAGAATGACCTGACCCGTTAGGCAAGTAAATGTTGAAAATGGCCACCATGACTCTCCATACGATAATAAAGATTTTGCTCAAAACGTTGCCGAACATTTTGCAATATTTGAAGAGTCATTTGAAGGCACTATTCACAATTCTTTATCGCAGGTCTTCTAATGATGTTGGCTGAGTAGCATAGACTTTGCTTTTTAAATGATCCCACATAAAGAAATCCAAAGGTGGTACAGCTGGCGATCTTGGGGGCCATTCAATGGCACCTCTTCTATCAATCCATCGATCTGGAAACGTCTGATCTAAATATTGTCGAACACGTAATGCGTAATGTGGTGGGGCACCATCCTGTTGGAACAACAACCTATTCGCAATCTACCGTTTTATTATGAATCAAGAAATCTACGAAGAACTGCTCTTCGCAAGAACTTTGATAACCGACACTAAAGGTGAATCAATATTTCATGTTCTGAAGGATTACTTCATTGAAAAAGCAATCCTTTATCAAATATAATATCAGTAGCCACAGATGGAGCACCTGCCATGGTTGGACGTTATCGTGGATTTATAAGCTATTTAAAACAAAATGTGTCAGGGGTGTTAGCAATACATTGCGTCATCCATCGACAACATTTAGTTGCTAAGAAAATGAGGAACACTTTCATCAATTACTCCTTCACACTGAAGTACGCTGGCTGTCGAAAGGCTTATATTTGACAAGATTTTTTGCACTTTATGAGACTGTTTTAGAATTTTTGGATACTAAAGATAGAATTTTAAAAGAAAATTTAATGAAGAGGAAAACAGACGTCGCCTATTTAACAGATTTGTTTACAAAATTTAATATGGTTAATTTGCAATTACAAGGCGACAGTTTAAATTTGATTAAAACAAAGTCCATCTTATCAGCGTTTCTTGCCAGAGTTAAACTAATGAAGCAAAATATTGGACGGTGCGAATTTTCTCAGTTCCAGAATTTGTCACAGACAAGCTGCCAGGAAGACGACGTTTCAACTTACGTTCAACATTTAAATGCCATCTATTCAGATTTTGAATCTAGGTTTGAGGATATTTTGACTATGGTAATATCACCATGGATAATTAATCCATATGGTGACATAGAAGAAACGAATGTCATAATACAAGAAGAACTGACTGAACTAAGTACAAACGAAGAACTTAAGGTTCAGTTTAAAAACGGATATCAGCAATTCTGGCTGCAAAACAACATACCCGTTACTTATCCCGTATTATGGAATATAGCGAGGAAATTTTTAATTTCCTTTCCATCGTCATACCTAGTGGAAAGGGGGTTCAGCGCTGTTACCAATCTCCTAACGAAAAAAAGAATCAGACTGGACATCATTAGCCGAGGAGATTTAAGATTAACCCTTACAAAATTGACGCCAAATGTTGATAATTTATTAATAAAGCATCAGGTTCTTCCTTCTCACTAAAAATATTGACTTATTGCTTATGCTATTTTATTTATAGTTTATTTTATGTTTATTGGTGTCTGACCAATAAATGCCCGCATTGGGAATAAATGACCGCATTGATTTTTTAAAGAACAACCCTTTATAGAAAACACTTTTTTTTAAATTATTCTGAAAATTCAAGGATAGGTACACACTAAAATTCGTTAATTTTTTGCCTATTTTTAGATAACTTAAACGTATAAGAAGCGGAATTTAATCAAACTAACAGTGAAATTATTGTAGAACATACGTTTATGTTATAATTAATAAACGAACTCGCTTATTGTACTATTTTAAGTAAAAAACTTTTTTTTATTATTTTTCACTTTTTTTTATTTTATCCCTCTTATTTTTTTTCAATGCGGGCACTTATTCCCAATGCGGGCACTTATTGGTCAGACACCTGTTTATTTAATGCTACGTATATTTTACATAACAGATACAAAATTTTATTTTGAGTAGTTTTAATTTAAATTAAATTAATAAATGTATAAATTAACATGTGTTTTTATTTTAACACTAAACTTCACTACAGTTAGAAATGTACAGGAAATCAATATCAGGTGAATAGGGGGCCTACCCAACACGGAAAAACATGGCAAGGGGTCTACGACACAAAAAAGTTTGGGGATCTCTGATTTAGATGATTCTTGGTTTTCATCTTCTCAATAACATTTTTAAAAATTTTTTAATAAACATTTTCGCGTTTCAACTATACGTATTTTATTCCTTTACCTGCTGTTCTTAGTAGCATTGTTAACCGTAACAGAGCTAATTACACTGTTTGAAGTAACTTTAAATGAAAAAAGTTTTGGCCAGATTTTTAATTCAAATACCCGTATGTGCAGCGACCACAGACGAGCAACAAAAAGGTAACCAAACAACCTTAACCTCTTTACAACCAACAAAATCGAAACAATATATATTTTTCGTCAGATAAAGATCTATGAAGCGTCGCCTCAGAAATAAATCTCTGCAAATTGTTCCATCTGGAAACAGTCGCAGGCAAGTGCACAACGTACCGACAGTAACTTCCGCCAGCAACGAGGAAAATACAAGAGACAACGTATATCAACAATTTTTACTCGCAAGTGTGCCTCCGTTGTTTTATTGAAAGTTTCCCGAGCGTGAATTTCACTTGAATGGAAAATTGCCCGTACTTGTTCATCCAATTACTTCCCGGTTTGAAGGAAATTATAAATTGCTGTCAGGGTGGTAGTCGCGGGAAATGCGGTGGCTGTACAGCCAACCCACGGCAATCTCTCAAAGCTTAGAGATCCTTTTCTTCAAGGGTCTCTCAGCCATTCGATCGTATTGAAGCACTGTTTAATAGGAGATCAATAACGATGAACCTACGTTCACCATTTATGTATACTTTATCTGAAGTCACTTGAAATAGCATAAAAACCTTTGGTCGGCGCGTCCTTTGTAATTTCATGACGTATCATAGGCGTGCGGTCATTTATTTAGAACGATAATAATAATGTTTTTATATCACAATAAATGGATTTTACTATCTTCTTATTTTTTTGATTTGGGATAAAAAATACTTATATTGGGAGTTTAATTTATGTTGACTGAATGTTAAGAATTGGAAAAATTACAGAATTCCAACGTTTGACATAGGCAAATATTTACATAGCAGGTAGGTATATAAAAAGGTACATAAAGACTTACATTATAGGTATTTATATATCATCCTCGCCTTCGGAGCTGTCGCTAGAGTCATCTTGTAGAGGAATTACAACGGGATTTACAGGAGGCAAAACACAATATTCATTTTATTTTTCAATAATATGCCTAGAACACTGCTTCCATAGGTCTGTGACAGCAATATGAGATACTGCATCTCTTATTGTGGCCAATAGCGGTTCACTTAATTGAGGGGTTTGATTATGTTTTCTTACTTTTTTTTTAAAGCAGCCCAGACCAACTCAATCGGGTTAAAAATGCAGTAATAGGGAGGTAGACGTAATACTTCATGGCCATTTTGCTGAAGCAGATTGTCAACAACATACTCTTTTTCAAATTTTTGTCTTTTAATAAGATCCAATAATATGGCTTTGGTTGATTTTTGTGGTATTTCCATACCCTTATCCTTCATAAAATCAATAATGTCTTGTTTTTTGTGCCTGTATTCGGAATTTTGTTTTTCTGTCGGGAATGGTATGGCGCATTGTCCATAATAATCACTGAATTTGGGGAAATGTTTGGTATTAACTGCTGCTCTATCCACTTTTCAAATAAGTCGGAGGTCATGTCCTCATGATAGTCGGCACATGATTCTTTGATATTTTTGGCAGATAACAGCAAAGCATTAGGTATAAATCTATTTTCACTGCCAGCATGGAGAATAATGATTCGTTTTCCACGGTTGCATGGTGCATTTAAAATGCACTTGTTGCTGTCCTCAACCCAGCCGTACTGCACAACATCATGGGTATCATACCACGTTTCATCCAGGTAAATCAGATTTCTTTTCTGCTCTCTATAGATTTTAACTTTGCGCAAAAATTCTTGGCGCAATTCAACGATTCGAGACGACTCCATAATCACCATTCTTTTATCTAATTTTTTGTATTGAAAACCACACAGTTTTACAATACAGTGCAGTGAGTCTGAGCATTTGTAATTATAAAAATCTTCAGGATAATCTTTTAATTTATCCCGTATCATTTCCAACGTGGGCACCAAATTTTCTTTATAAAATACGTATATTATACGACGAATATCTTCCTGAAAACCCACGTCTATTCTTTTTAATTTTTGCCCTATGCGCTTTCTGTGGAAGGAATGGTTGACTACATCTCCCCTTTTTAGAACCCGATAAATGGTAGACCGACTGATTTTTGTCAGGATACAAATTCTGTTTAAAATTTGATTTTGCGAGAAATCTGGATTTTCGTTTTTCAGACAATCATACATATTTAGGATTACTCTTTGGGTCTGTTCCTCTAAATCTTTATGAAAGAATTCTGCCTGCACAGGTTCATCAACCATCTCCTCGTGGCTTGGAGCATTTTCCCAAGGTCTCCAAAGAGCCATATTTAGGACACACAAGAACAATCAACCCAACAATTAAATCAACAAGTAAACTGAGTATTCAAAAGTCAAAAACACACAAACTAATAAAATCTATGAAGAAACACGGACAGACTAAAGAAAACACGTTTATTCACCGCTACACGGCACTGGCTAAACTGTTTCAATTTTCAGTAGCCACCTGCACTTGTTCGGAGCTCTGAAATACACGCTTTCTCATTGGCTATGTCCACGCATAGACGTGCTTTACTCCACGTCGACCGGTGAAACTGCCTTTGATCTTATACGGGGGATATTTGCTGCGAAATTTGGCGATTTTTGCAGCAACAGAGCGTGTTAAATATAGATATATAAAACGCACCCGCTATTTCACAGTGTTTCAAGTGACTTCAGATAAAGTATACTTGCTACCGAGAATGCGGAATATGAATGGATTTGGCTGGAAAAAAAAATCGTATAAGTAATAATAATAAAAATAAGACGTTTTTATCTAGGGCGAAGTCAATTATAGTATAAGTACGTACCTGGCCCTTAAGTTCTGCAGAACTGCCAAAACTTTTGTCTTAACAGAAAAAATCAGTAGTAATTTGATCATTATTTATTTGCCATGTTACAACATAAATAGAAACAATACCGGCCACGCTGCCCCGCGAGACACAGCGACCAGTCTATTTTGTATTGTAAAAGCATTATAATCGACCAATTGTGTACTTGTCATTGTCGTCGCGACCGCAGTGTAACATTATTCATGGGCCACTTGAATTGGGTCTGTGCACTACTTCGACACAAGCCGCACGCGCTTGCTTTTGTCTCTGTCTACAAAATCAAATGCCCGATTTAAGCATAAGCATGTGCTGCACGTCATACAGATCCGTACAGATCTAATGCGAAGTACGATATCTGATTGGTCGGTCGGTGCTCGGTATAAAATTTTGCGGAGCATTTGAATTGGTGCTACCGGGCCGCGACGAAATCGAGAGCCCCCAAAACCCGGGTAGACAGGGTGACTTTGAAGTTGAGTCATTGATTTTCAGATAATGATTGTAGAAGGAAGATAAACCAAAATATGTGTGTAAAAATAAAAAAAATTAACAAAAAAATGTTACCTTGTTTTATAAAGTATCCTCCCGACAAGTATTTCAGTGCGGACCTGTATTTGATCGTGCGGTCTTGGAGCACCCGCATGCCCTCAAGTTCAGCATTTTCGTAAACATGTGCCATTTTTGATTTCGTTTGAGCCACGCAACAGATACCACTATTCACTCACGCGTTACCACCTGACACTGACTGTATACAACTGAATAAAATAATTGTAAAAACATCGTTCCAAATTCTTTCGCTTTTTTGTTTCCGATGCGATGAACCGATAAGGCGGATTATATCCGTTGTTGCCAAACACGAGCACATAATATTATTATTGAGACAGGGCGGTACTCAAACTTCCAAAGCGCTATAACTTTGTTACTTTAATTTTACCAGAAAAATGTTAAAGGAAAAAAACATTTCTTGTGATTAGATCTATTCACTGTTAAAATAAATGACTCAACTTCGAAGTCACCCTTTCGTGGACTGATTAATTTTTCTGCTGAGCTTGATACAACCTTAAGCGAACACAAAAAATGCTTCAATATTCAAAGGAACTTAGGAATAAATACAAAACGATCTACTGGATTGTATTCTTGTAGCTTGTCATGAAGAAATAATAAAACAGATTATTAGAGCCTCGT